ACACAACAACTTTTTCAATGGATAAAATGCATGTGACGATGTATTTTATAACATCTTCTTCATATGCTTGTTTAATATCTTTAAGCTGGGTTTTTGAACGAGTTTCGCGTTATTGCACTTGTTCACACGTCATGTTGAGAATAGTTCTTGATTGTGAAATCAAAAGCGATACGGCTCAAAGTAATGCGATGATGATGAAGTAGTACATACTAGGTAGATCAAATCAAAGTGTCAGAACAATGGGTTATTTGGGATGACGTTTACTGAGGATGACTTTTATGTGCTGGTTTCATTTGATCGGTTATTTGATTTGATGGAGTTATTATGAAGCAATCAGTTGGCGGCTATTCATGTGATTAATAAATAGCTACGCAGAACGATGGAGCCTCAGGTGCCTCGACAGGTGCCAACGCTGTGGTAGAATCGCTAGGAATTTCAGTGGTGGCTGGCGCCGGGTCACCCAAAAGACTCCACAGGTCCGAATTCATTCCACCGAATAAACTCTGCACTTGCTGAAAGTATTACAGTCTTGATTGTGACAATTATCGCTATTACAATCATTATTATTAGAGTTACAATAAACTATGATAAAATCATTGCAAATCAGTACTCTTTTCGATCGTGATGCATGATACTGGATGTGATACTGTTTATGAAATCGATGATAACGATAGCAAAGTGAATTATAAAACGATGATTTTAAAGAATAGAGAACATTTTGAGTAACGAAAATAGTTATAATGATAATAGTAACGAATTTTAAATTGATGAAGACACACCTGATGAATGCTCTCCGAAACGTATTTTTGGTAGGCACTCATTTTAGTATCGAATTCCTTCAGCTGTTTGATCTCGCTCGGTGACAAGTCACGAGCGTATTCACGTCCAACGTAGACTTTATTATTCTGGAAAGATTTTTTTGGAATGTTTCAAAAATTGAACCATTCATAAGTCGGTTGTGATAGTGAGGTCACTCCTTCAAGAATTATCGATACAGAGTGAAATGATAGCCGACTGCATTGTGGGAAAGAGCCTTGGAGGGGAATAATATTAAAACTTTGTCGGAGTTCATTTATGGAGCAGTATATTGAGGTTTGTAACATTGAGGGTTAGATAATTCAAAATTGCTAAATATTTCAGAGTAACAAAAAGTCTTTTGCTGAGAGTTGAAACATTTATCGATGAAATATGTTGGTTCCCTGAATTTTTCAAGCTTTTCTGATCGAAAAGTTACCAGTTGTTTTGATTTGACAAATGAAGATGTATTGTAGCCGAGGCATCATCATTTTAGTTGCTGTTGATAGAACAGATGCGGGAAAATTTGCTCATAAATTTACATATATCATATGAATGTTCACCATATTTATGATGACTCACATCACATGTATCATAAATATTACATATCAAATATCTAATCGTGAATTCATAAACTTATGATGCATATGAATATTTCGAAGATTTTTTATACGTTGATTCAGATCTATTGTTTGGATGAACTTTTTGGGTTTTTTTTGGATGAATTTTGATTTGAGTAGAGGAAGGAGATTACTGAGGGATTAGCTGAAATGAGAAGGGACACGGGACTAGATAAGCAGATCTGTCAATAACTATTGGGAGGGATAGTATAAAGATATTTTTGTCTAACGATAAGCATTGTTGGTTGTTGATTTTGTAGTTTTATATGATTCTTATGCATATTTCACGGCATTTTCTAGTTTTTGCTTTCTTTTTATCGATAAAATAAAACCTCTCTTCCTGTATCAATAA